ACAAGCCCTAGGGCCTAGACCTGGACACGTTAAAACCTGAGCATCTTAAGATAGCTTAGGCCTGATGGCACAGACAATGAGTGTTCTTCAGTGCGCTTCGCGAAGGCCTGCGAGTACTTGCCGGCGTCCACTGCCAATAGCCACCGTGATCCCACCGTCCATAGCTGTAATCTGCGCGGCGGCGACCACCGTTCGGCATCGTTTCGTGCTGAGCTTACACCTTACAAGTAACGGGCCAACATTTCATTTGAGCAAGACTTTGCAGACAAGCATGCCGCACAGATGCGTTCGGAGCATAACCACTGATGTTCACCAATACAGCGAAAAAGCTACTGCATCGAGTCTGCAACAGGGACCCATTGCCGCCTGCTGTTTTCGCAGTCTCTGAGGGCTTGGCTCCATTTAAGATTCTGGCACTCCAGGGTGTGTAGCTCCTGGTTCAGGATAGTGCAGGGCTTTGGGGTGATGCGTCGCGTTTAGGGGGGTAGTTGTGCGCGGTGCTACAACCGAGAAAGACTTTGCAAGGAGCTCGGTTCCCAGGCTTTGCCCCAAAAACATCCAAGCCTCCAAGCGCGCTAAACCCAAGTGCTAAATTCTAGAACTCCAGGACACCATCAGGTGGACGTGGGTGCGTTCCTCCACGTCGAGCCCGCCCTTTCCGCAGGAGCCGACAAGGCTGCCTGCCGTTGAAGACGGGGTTGGGAGGCTTGGGGCTTGAAAGCTCAGGCTGGAGGGCGGGGTGGTAGGGATCTCGCGTTGGAGGATCCAGGGCTTCAGAGGGGTCTGATGGCTCAAGGGCTTTAGGGATATTGGCTGTAAAGAAGAAGCAATTATAACTACACTGATTGTCATAACAACAAGTACAACAACCTCTAGACCTAGAGCGGTAGCAAGCCCATGCCAGCACTACTAGCAACAACCATAACAAACAGTGACAACAAATAAGCGATCGTTAAAGAAAATGGCGACAATAAATACTACTTGTACGTTGCTAGTATTTTACATCACTGCTTTTGTTGTTCCTCCTGTCTAAAATAACAATCATCGAAGCAGTTAGGCCTGGAAAGAAGCTCGGATCCTCGCTGTTGCAGCTTTCGGAAGACATTCCTAACTGTTCGACATGACCCCGCTCGCCGCTCAGCGAGAGCTAGCCTCTGCCTCAAACCGGGAATCCGAATCTTCGGCTTCAGGGAGGTCTCAGCACTCACAACTGGGAACGACGGCGCACCCCAACACTAGACGACAGACTCACCACTGACACATCAAAAGATAAAGGTTTGGGGCTTAAGGGCTTAAGGCTTTAAGGTTTACAAGTTTCGGGCTTCGGCGCTCACTCTCGGCCATGCCAAGCGAAATTCTTGGTGCATAGTCGGGTTGGAGGTGAGACGGGTCTCGGCACTCACAACTAGGCATGACCAGGCGAGGTTCCAGGTAGGACAAGCGTCAGGCATGTGTAACCTCCAGTTCTGGGGATTCGGGTTCGGGGATGTAGGGCTGAGGGGTCTCGAGCACAGGCTTCGCCCCGAAACCGTAATTCCGAGATGTAAGTCCGGAACATTTAACCCACGACCCAAAGCGTCAACACGTCCTGGCATTCGTACGTGCAGCGAACATGGCCGCGCAAGCGCCACCTGATCGGTGAATTGAACAAGTGCATTGCCCCGACAGCAACGGAGGGTTGCCGTGTGAGACTACGACGTGATTCCACAATGTTTTCATTATCTTCAAAATTCCTTGCGGCCTGCGCCATGATCATCACGGTCAGGACGATCAGCATGCACTATGCAGGACGCTCTTTGTGTAATTTGGTCAATCACCAGCTAGTGAGTTCAACTGCTTGATTTGCTAGCTAAGTCACTAGTACAGAATATGCACCTATATGCATACTGCGCAGTTGAGGTTGTGCCTGCAGTGCAGGCAGCACACGACCAGGCGTTGCAGCAGACTTGCACACGGCTCCTTTGCGACGGGGTGCAGGGCCCGTTCGGGCCAATGGTTGATCGAATCCAGCCAATGTCAGGTCACTTCGCTTAATTACTGCACAGAGCAACGTCACTGCTCAGTCCTCTTAAGGCACCGTCCACCTCGACACCAAGTCATGAGGTCAACGTCATCATGGAGAGTATGCGTCTCCTGCAAGCCAAGGAGACGCATACTCTCCATGATGACGTTAACCTCAGTACTTGGTGTCGGTCGACGGAGGCGTTGGCTCTGGAACTGGAACGTTGATGAAGTGGAGCCTTTCCCCGCACCCGAACGCATCGTACATAAGCATTGCAGGATCTGAGCTCCGCATCCTTGTGTCCATCGTGTTCCATGTCGTGCATGGCGTGCATGGCATTTCCTGAACGTACTCTTCCATGGCCGCGAAGGACGCCTCCCGTATCTTGCCACGGACTGCCTGAGTGTAGAGCCCCTCGCCTGCGACGCGGTACTGGCCAAGGAGCTGCTGGGCACGATTCATGTTGAAACTTCCCGTTGCCGAAGCACTTGCCCACCGTTCTCGCCTGGCACTACGGATTCGAAAACACGCCCTACGGCCTTGAGCAGGACACGTGAAGAGCTGAAGCATCTTAAGATATCTTAAGTTTCAGGGCCGTGACAGTGTAGGAGAAAAGAGACTAGCCCAAATAAGCCACTGACAACGATTGTTTCTCTGTCTGTGGGCTTCGCAAAGGCCTGCGTGTACTTGCCGGCGTCCACTGCCAATAGACGCCGTGATCCCACCGTCCATAGCTGTAGTCTGCGTGGCGGCGACCACCGCTTGGC